CTAACTATTTTCTTCTTTTTCAAAATTGTTTCAACTATTGAGGATTCCATGTCTCATTTTTTAGTGTAGTTTATGATACTTAAAAAAAAAAAAAGATTGGGAATCTCTGAGCCCCATAGGAGAATGGTCTTCAAACATTTTGCTCATATTTCCCTAAAGGGCTTTAAAGTAATATGTATCCCTTGCAAAAAAAAAAAAGAGGTAACATCTGACATACTATAAACATGGACATTTAAAAATAAAACTACTATTGCTTTTCAAAATTTATTCTGTAGATTAAAATATCATAGTGAAGTGATATCCATCCACATCCATTTAAAATATGCTGATCTTCTCAATAGTTCTTTGTAAGTCCTTTTTTCTTCTTGAATTCTTATTTCCATTCCATCTCCTCCACAGAATGCTATTCTAATGAAACACAGGTTTTTATTATCAGTCCAAAAATGTCTTGGAGTCCCTCAGCATGGTGCTGCTGGGGATTTCCTTCGGCAGGTGAGGGAAGAGGAAGTCCCAGGCGGCCCAGAGGTCCTGGAAGTAGCAGAACTGGACAATGGAGCAGGCCATGGCTCTGGGGATCCCCACTCTGGTACCCACCTACCTCAGCACGCCCTGCCTCCTCCACCCCACCATTGTCACTGCCGAGCCCCAACTGCTTCAGTCAAGCAGGAGGCAGGGAACCCTATTCCAGTATCTTACATTTACATTATAATTTTATAATATTTTTGTATTATATTGCAAATCTCATGAGGAAATGAGCCTCCATGAGGTAGGATTTGTAATTTAAATAAATGTGAGTTTTTTATACCCTGAAGATAATGATAATCCAATTAGAGTGAATATTTTTCTCTTTTTTTTTTTTTTTTTTTGGCTACCACCTGTTTGTGGCATGCCAATAACCTCCTGTTTTGGAAGAATCTCCTATTCTGTGGTAGATGTTGACAGATATGCTGGAGGTTGTAGATATTAGAGGAGCCAAGAACAAGTAAATGCTTGGAAGGAGCTGGGGTGAAGGATAAATTAATTTAGGGTGTGGGCACAATTCGATATAAGGTTGAAGAGAGCATTTGAAGAATGCCTGAGGAAGGATTTGGGAACAAAGTTGGATAAGTAGGTAGAACCCTCTTCTAAAAAAAACTTAAGTTGACATTCCAAAGTGTTTAAAAATCATTCCTGTTTGAATTCTGTCAGGCTTAGGGATAAGACACATTGGAAATTCAGTTGTATTAGCTGGAGGAGGAAGAGGAGAGATGAGAAATGAATTGGAGCTAGAGAGGAATCATCCAGCCCAAAGGCTAGTCACTAAAATCAGGGCAAAGACAGTAAATTCTTTTATGTTTAAAGAAACTTTATTCAGATAAAGAGAAAAAAAGGAAACAAAGAATATATAGAAAAAAATGGAAAACAAATAGTAAAATAATAAATTTACATCTAACTATATCCATAAAGACAGTTGTAAATTTTTAAACATCCTAATTTAAAGGGCAGAGTTGGTAAAGCATCAATATTGGCTCATCAATTACACTATTGGCTGAAACATGTTACCCTGGAAATTCATATGCTGAAGCCTAACCCTCAATATGACTGTATCTGGAGATAGAGTATTTAGGTTAAGATAGGGTCTTAAGGTTAAATGTGATCATAAGGGTAGTGTCCCAATCTGACAGGCCTTACAAGAAGAGAAAGAAAAATTTCTCTCTCTCTCTGCCCCACACATACACTGAGGAAAAGCCATATAAGGACAAGGTAACAAGGTGGCCATTAGCAAACCAGGAAGAGCAAAGAGTTTTTGCAAACCAGAAACTAAGTCTGCTAGACAGAATTGTGGGAAATAAATTTTTGTTGTTTAGATCACTCAGTCTATGGTATTTTGCTATGGCAGCCTAAGCAACCTAAGGCAAATTGTAACAAATGTACTACACTAATGTAAGATGTTATTGAGAGGGAAAACTGGTGGGGACAGTGAGGCTGAACCCTTTGTACTTTCCACTCAATTTTTCTTTAAACTGCTAAAAAAAAATAAAGTCTATTTTTTTAAAGGTAAAGATTGTCTAACCGGTTAGAAAAGCAAGATTTATTATAGAGGTGCCTGTAAGAAATACACATTGAATATAAAGACACGAAAGGGTTGAAAGTAAAAGGACAGAAAAAATTATACCAAGCAAACATGTTAAAAACAGAGCAAGAACACCACCTGAGGTAAAGAAAGTCAATTAATAATGATAAAGGATTCATCTATCATGAGGACATAAAATTAAATGCTTATGCACTTAATAACAGAACTTCAGTAAACATGAAGCAAAAACTGGAAGAACTGCAAGGAACAATTGTGGTAAATCATGATAAATTCACAATCATAGTCAGAGATTTCAAAAGCACTCCCTCAGTAATTAATATGAGTCAAGAGAAAGTCAATAGGAATATAAAAGACTTGAACGATGCTATTAGCCAACATGATCTCATTTAGGTTTAAAGAACACTCCACCCAAAAACAGTAGAACACAGAATTTTTTCAAATGTTTATACAATATTTACCAAAATATACCGCATTCTGGGTCATTGAAAAGTCTTGATAAGCCGGGCTTGGTGGCTCAAGCCTGTAATCCTGTGCCTTTGGGAGGCTGAGGTGAGTGGATGGCCTAAGACCGCGGGTTCAAGACCCGCCCGGGCAACTTGGTGAGACCTCATCTCTACAATAAATCAAAATCAGCCGGGCATGGTAGCGCGCGCCTGTAGTTCCAGCTACTTGGAAGGCTGAGGCGGAAGAATCGCCAGAGACCAGCGGGTCGAGGCTGCGGTGGCTGGGAGTGGCCACTGCACTCCAGTCTGGGCGACAGAGTGAGACTCCAACTCAAAAGAAAAAAAAGTCTTGATAAATTTCAAGTGATTCAAGTCCTTAAAAGTATAATCTCTGATTACAGTGAAATTAAAAATCAATAACTGAGGGATCTTTGGGAAATTACCATATAATTGAAAACTAAATAACACACTTACAAACAACTAATGGGGAAAAAAAAACGAATCAAAATGGAAATTAGAAAGTATTTTGAACTGAGTGCAAATGAAAATACAACATATCAATCTATAACTAGATCACCCTGAACTCACCTTATCTCATCTGACCTTGGAAGGTAAGCAGTGTTGGGCCTGGTTGTACTTGGATGGGAGACTGGGAATACTGGGTGCTGTAGGTTTTTTTTTTTCCCCTAAAAATAAAGAAAGAAAAAGAAAACACAACATATCAGACTGTATGGGTTGCGCCTGTGGTAGGCTAAAAAGTGGTACTCATATAGGTTCATGTCCTGATCCCCAGAACCTGGGAATATTCCATATGACAGAAGGAATTCTGCAAATGTGATTAAACAACCTTGAGGCAGGGAGATTATCCTTAATTACTAGTATGGAACCAATGTAATTAAGTAACAGTCCTTATAAGAAGAAATGAGGACCCGCCTGGGCAACTTGGTGAGACCTCATCTCTACAGTAAATCAAAAATTAGCCGGGTGTGGTAGCACGCACCTGTAGTTCCAGCTACTTGGAAGGCTGAGGTGGAAGGATCGCTGGAGCCCAGCAGGTCGAGGCTGCGGTGGCCGGGAGCGGCCACTGCACTCCAGTCTGGGCGACAGAGTGAGACTCCAACTCAAAAAAAAAAAAAAGAAGAAGAAATGAGTAGGAGTCAGAGGAGCGGGCAATATCAAACAGAAGCAGAGACTGGAGTTATGCACGATGAAGATGGAGAGAGGCGTCACAAACCAAAGAATACAGGCAGCATCAGAAACTAAAAAGGCAAAGAAACAGATAATGTCTTCTGAGATTCCAGAAGGAAACAGCCATGCCAACAATCAGCAAATCTGATCTGCAACATCCATGCTTTAACCCAGCAAATCTGATTTTGGACAACTAACCTCTAAAACTTTAAGAGTTGTATTGTTTTAAGCTACGATGCTTGTGGTAGTTTGTTACAGAGGCCACAGGAGACTAGTACATCCCTTAAAACAGTACTTAGGAGGAAACTTATGGCATTAAATGCCTCAGCTTTTGTTTATGAAACTAGGAAGCAAAAAGAAGCAAATTAAATCTAAAATAAGCAGAAGAAAGGCAGTAATGAAGATCAGAGCAGAAATCAATGAAATGGAAAACAGAAAAACAACAGAGAAATCAATTACATTAAAAGCTGCTTCTTTGTGATGATCAGTAAAATTGACAAATCAGATTGCTCAGAAAAGGGGAAAAAAGATACAAATTACCAATATTAGGCATGAGAGAAGTGACATCACTACAAAGTCTACTGATATTAAAATAATAAGAAAATATTACAAACAATTCTGTACCAATAAATTCAACAACTTAGATGATAAAATGGACAAATTCCACAAACTACCAAAGCTTACCCAAGAAGAAATAGATAACTTATATAGTCGTGTATCTATCAAATAAATTAAATTTATAGTTAAATATCCTTCCCCAAGACCATATATCTTTACCAAATTCTACCACATATATATGTATGTGTGTGTGTATATATATATATATATTTTTTTTTTTTTTTGAGTTGGAGTCTCACTCTGTCGCCCAGACTGGACCCCGCAGCCTCGACCTGCTGGGCTCCGGCGATCCTTCCGCCTCAGCCTTCCGAGTAGCCGGAATTACAGGCACGCGCTACCGCACCCGGCTAATTTTTTGATTTGTTGTGGAGATGAGGTCTCGCCTGCCCAGGCGGGTCTCGAACCCTCAGGCTCAGACAATCCACTCACCTCAGCCTCCCAAAGGCACGGGATTACAGGCTGAGCCACCGAACCCGGCTATATACATATATATATAATTTTTAATTAAGGCTTTTTATTTGGTTTTCTATGCCATTGCAGGAACTTCTGGACAACACTCTTGAGCCAACAGGGGTTCATGGCCACACCCACTTCTGCTGCAGGAACTATCTGCTGAATAGCTGAACTGACACAACACAGTAGCCAGGCCCTTTCCTGAGGACTCCAGAAGCTCTACTTTAGGTTATGGGGGTCACCATCTTGTAGGTGACATGAAGATGCTGAGTCATTGGCTGTGTTGTAGTTACCATGGAGACTGCCTGTTCAAGTTTGCCTTCAGAATTCAGCCTGAATTTCTGGGTAATCTGCTCCACGTGGGGCATCTTGGCAAAGGAGATCCTGGCGATGGAGTGGGATGCGATACACAGCTCCCGCCCCTTCACCTCACCCTCCTCCACCTCCAGTATGCCTGTGTTCTGGGCACTGAGGAAGCCCACCTTGCTGATGTTGGGCTTGAGGCAGATGAAGCCACACTCTCTGTGCGTCGGTTTGCTCGTGTCTGGGTGGAAGAAGTTGAACAAAAAGTTCATCATGGACTGGCCCACGTGGGAGATGTGTACTCCTCCAGGTACTGGAAGAGCTGCAGCATGATAGGTTCCAGCTCCTGGAGGATCCAATAGCCAGGTGCCCAGCATCCAGGACAGTGGCTCCACTGCTGGGTTCATCTTGGGAGGTTCTGAAAGCTCTCTGAACCTCTTTCCTTTGGGTTTTTTTGGAGGCTTCATTACGTAGGTATGATTGATCCAATCACTGGTTGTTGGAGAATCCAAGGAGGAAATAATATCTATTCTATACAAACCTCTTCTAGAAAATTGAAGAGAATGGAATACTTCCTATCTCATTCTATTAAACCAGCATGACTCTGATACCAAAAACAGACAGATTTTATAAGAAACTACAGACCAATATCAGTCATGAACATAGATGCAAAAATTCCAAAGAAAATCTTAAGTAAATTGCATCTAACAATATATAAAAATGATAATACATCATGATTACATGGGGTTTATCCCAAAAATGCAGATTAAAATGTGAATATCAATCAGTGTAACTCAACATACAGGTTGTTTGTTTGCTTTTAGTTTTTAAAAAATAAACAACTATAATATCCCATTTGATATTTTCAGTAGATGCAAACAAAAAAGCATTTGACAAAGTCCATTATCAACTATTGATTAAAAAAGAAAGGAAGAAAAACCTCTCGGCAAACTGGTATTGGAAGGAAATTTTCTCCATTTGATAACATGCACCAGATGATTTATAAAAAAAATGTATGGCTAACATCACACTGAGTGGTGAAAATTTTATTCCATAAGTTCAGGGATAAGACACATGTGTCTTCTTTTGCCCCTCCTATTCAACATTGCATCAGAGGGTCTGGACTATGCACCAGTGCAATAAAGCTGTAAATAAAGAAATGGTATCCAAATTAGGAAGAAAGAAGCAAATTGTCTTTATTTACAGAAGATACAGTCATTTATATAGAAAATCTGATGGAATGAATTAAAAAGTTACTAGAATTAATAAATGAGTTTGACAATATTGCAGAATTCAAGATGAAAATATCAAAAACTATTTCTGTATATTTTTTTTTTTTTTTTTTTTTTGAGAGTTGGGAGTCTCACTCAGTCGACCCAGCCTGGAGTGCAGTGGCCGCTCCCGGCCACCGCAGCCTCGCCTGCTGGGCTCCGGTGATCCTTCCGCCTCAGCCTTCCAAGTAGCCGGAATTACAGGCTTGCACTACCATGCCCGGCTGATTTTTTGATTTATTGTAGAGATGAGGTCTCGCTGCCCAGGCGGGTCTCGAACCCGCGGGCTCAGGCAATCCACTCACCTCAGCCTCCCAAAGGCGCGGGATTACAGGCTGAGCCACCGAGCCCGGCTATTTCTGTATATTACCAATGAACAGTTGGAAATTGAAATAAAAATAGCATTTAAAATAGCATAAAAATATGAAATACCTAGTGATAAATCTGACAAAAGATGTGCCAGACATATATGCTAGAAACTACAAAACATTGCCAAGAGAAACCAAGAAAAACTTTAATAAATGGAAGAGATATGATGTTCATGGAAGACTCAGTAGTGTTAAGATATCCGTTTTTTCCAAAATGATCTATAATTTCAACACAGTCACTGTCAAAAGTACAGTAGGCTTTAAAAAAAAAAAAAAAGAAAGAAAGAAGAGAAATTAACAAGCTGATTCTAAAATTCATATGTCAATTCGAAAGACCTAGAATAGCCAAAGTGCTTCAAAAAAAAAAAAAATGAAGAATTAATACTACCTTATTTCAATACATAAAGCTACAGTCATCAAGATAGTGGGCCACCAAGAAAGACAAATAGACCAATGAAACAAACTAGAATCTTGAAGGAGACCTGCACACATATGAGTAACTGATTTGGCAGAGGTACAAAGCAACACAGTGGAGAAAGGTACTGAAGAGTTAGATATCCACATACACAAAAATGAATTTTGATTCATGTCTTATACCATGTAAAAAATTTTGATTCATGTCTTATACCATGTAAAAATTAACTCAAAATGAATTATAGAACTAATTGTAAAACTGAGAACTATGAAACATTTATAAGAAAACAGAAGAAAATCACTGTGGCTTCAGGTTAGACCAAAGTGTCTTTTTTTGGGGGGTAAAGATCTAAACAAAGCTATAAATACATCTCTGATGTGAAACCAACAACAGAAAAAACATAAATTTGACAATCAAAATTTAAAACTTCTGCTTCTTGAAAGATATTGTTAAGGAAATGAGAAGAAAAGCCACAGACTAGGAGAAAAATGTTTGTGAATCATATTTCTGAATACAAGTTTTGTATTCAAAGTGTATAAAGGACTCTCAAACTCAATAATAAGAATTGAAAACAGGGACTCAAAGAGATATTTGTGCACCGTGTTCTTAGCAGCATTATTTGCAACAGCCAAAAGGTGGAAGCAACCCAAGTATCCATCAGTGGATAAACAAAATGTGGCATAAATGTGTGGACATATGCTGTGAAATATTATTCAACATTAAAAATGAAGAAAATTCTGACACATGCTACAACATAAGTGAAACTTGAGGACATCGTGCTGTGTGAAATAAACCAGTCCCAAGAAGACTAACACTGTATAACTCCACTTATATGAGGTCCTTAAGAGTAATCAAATTCGCAGAGACAGAAATTAGTATGGTGGCCAGGGCTTGGAGGAAGGGAGCAATGAAGAATTATTGTATAAGTACAGAGGGCCAGGTGTGGCTCAGCCTGTAATCCCAGCCCTTTGGGAGACCGAGGTGAGAGTATTACCTGAGCCTGGGGGTTCGAGACCAGCCTGGGCAACTTGGTAAGACCTCACTTCTACAATAAATCACACACACACACACAAAACTAGCCAGGTATGGTGGTGTGCGTCTGTAGTTCCAGCTACTTGGACGGCTGAGGCGGAAGGATCTCCTGAGACCAGCAGGTCGAGGCTGCGGTGGCCGTGAGCGTGCCACTGCACTTCAGCCTGGGCAACAAAGAGTGAGACTCTAACTCAAAAAAAAAAAGAAAAAAAAAGTACAACGTTTCAGTTTTACAAAGAAAAGAGTTTTGGAGATTGGTAACAAAACGTGAAATGGTAATGATGGTAGCACAATGTGAAAATACTTAATGTACACCTCAAAATGGCTAATATGATAAATTTAAAGTTGTATGTGTATTTCATGTGTATTTCACTATGATTTTTTAACTTAGTAATAAGAAAACAATTTTGTCCAATTTTATAAATTGGACAAAATACTTGAACAGACACTTCCCCAAAGAAGACATGCAGGTGGAAATTGGCATATGAAGAGAAGTTCAACATTATTAGTCAACAGGGAAGAGCAAATTAAAACAACAATGAGAGAGCACCAGATACCTATTAGGATGGTAAAAAATAAGAATAGTGACTTCACTGAGTTCTAGTGAGGATGTGGAAGAATTGGAACTTTTATACAGTGCTGATAGGAATATCATATGTGGTCCAGTCTTTCCTCTCCTAAGTATTCACCTAAGAGAAGCAAAAGCATCTGCCCATACAAAGACTTGTACAAAAATGTTTATAGTGGCTTTTTTTTGGTAATGGCTAAAAACTGGAAACAGCCCAAATGTTCATTAGCAAGTGACTAGATAAGCAAATTGTGGTATATCAATATGATAGGCTACTACTATCCAGGTCGTTTTTATTTATTTATTTATTTATTGTTGTTTGTTTTTTTGAGTTGGAGTCTCACTCAGTCGCCCAGACTGGAGTGCAGTGGCCGCTCCCGGCCACCGCAGCCTCGACCTGCTGGGCTCTGGCGATTCCTCCGCCTCAGCCTTCCATGTAGCTGGAACTATAGGCGCGCGCTACCACACCCAGCTAATTTTTTGATTTATTGTAGAGATGAGGTCTTGCCAAGTTGCCCAGGCAGGTCTTGAACCCGTGAGCTCAGGCATTCCACTCACCTCGGCCTCCCAAAGCGTGGGATTACAGGCTGAGCCACCGAGCCTGGCCTGGGCCGTTTTTATTATCCCTTTTTTATTTCTAAAAGGCATATGAATGAATCTCAAAATACTTATGCTAAGCCAAAGCCAGACAAAGCAATAGTACATATTGCGTGATTCTATGTATATAAAATTCTACAAAATGCAAACTATCTGTTATGCCAGGAAGCAGATCAATAGTTGCCTATATATGGGGGAAATAAGTAGGGCACGAGGAAACTTTGGGGGACATTGGATGTTTTCATGATCTTGATTGTGGTGATGGTCTTGTTCCTGACCACAGGTCCCTAGGCTCCTGTGTAATAGAAATTAACACAAGGCCAAACAGATTCCCAGACAAAGTTTTATGGGAGACTTATGCTCAAACATAAAGGAGATAGCTCAGGAGGAAGAGCTCTCTGAATGGCTCTCTAAATGGCTCTCTGAAGGGGGCTGACCAACGTCTTTTATTAGATAAAGGAAGAGGTGTCACATCAAAGGAAAGTTATGTTAGCATGAATCAGGGAGGGATTTTAACCATGCAAGTATACTATAGATACATACTTCATATGTTGCATGTACAAAAAAAAAGGCAGGTAATCCCTGCCTGGGGTGAAGATTTTAGTATTATAATACTAAAATTATAAAACTATAATTATGTTAGGTTTGGTCATTTTTCTGGACTTGTGCACATGTGAGTGGAGAGGTTTTCATGAGTAAAATTTGGGGTGAAATGTTGCTTATCTCAGTGTCTTCAGATAACTTGCAAGGTTTGGTAGACAGTGGGTATGTGTGGAGACATACATTGGGGGTAAGGGCCAAGGCTCATCTCTGTTCCGCCTCAGTTAATGGGTATATTCATTTGTTAAAATTTATCAAATAATACACTTTGAATATGTGCAGCTTAGGGTATGTCAATTTTACCTCAGTAAAGCTGTTAACAAAATAAATAAGGGAGCTTTATGAACTTAGACTTGAATCTGCCTCAGTGGATTCCATCTGTTGATGAAAACGGAGATTGGTGATCATAACAAATGGAATTTTTACTTTGGGGAACAACCAAGGAAGACAACCTGGGAAGAGAACCAATGCTGTTGAACAATATGGGGAGATTTGAGGAGGTTGGAAATGTCTCTGCATTTAATCAATCAGAGTCACATGATATTGGAGTCAGAAGGATCTTAGCAAGATGAAATACAGTTCAGCTTATTTTACAGATCAGGAACTGAATAGATAAAAAGACTTAGGTCACACAGCTTATAGAGCTAACAATAAAATGTGGTTCTCTGAGTCTTAATCTCATGCTGTTTTTCTTCTGTACAGTATCTATTAACTATAATAAACCCTTGGGTAATTGGTAACCTAGGTTAGTCTATGGAAATATGGAATAAGATGATACCTGCCTTCATGGCCATGTAGATGGTCTAGAAAGTGGCAAGAAACACCACTACCTCCACCTTCGTATCTCAGTCCCTAAACCCTCTTAGACAGACAATACTCCTTGTATAGCATTACTGCTTTCCTGGCCACTCTGAGGGTTTACTTGGAACCATTACACGGTATGTGAACTCCTTACAACTATAGTCAGTTTTGCGGTAAATCTGGCCTTGAAAACACAAATTTATTCCAATTGTGATTGATATACTAGTCAAGCATCCCCAATCCAAAAATCTGAATTCCTAAATGCTCCAAAATTTGAAACTTTTTCAGTGCTGTCATGCCCCAAGAGGAATATTCCACACCTGATCAGCTTCATGTGCCTGAAAACACAGGCACATGACACACAGTTTATTCAGTGTCCCTAAGGGAAAAATAAAATTGCCTTCAAGCTATGTGTATAAAGTATTTTGTGTTTTGACTTGGGTCCCGTCCCCTAGATATCTCATTATGTATATGCAAATATTTTAAAATCCAAAGAAATCCAAAATCTGAAACTCTTCCAGTCCCAAGCATTTCAGATAAAGGCTATTCAACCTATATCAGGAAACAACATGAGGATAATGCAAAGTTGCCATCACCTTGGTGAAAGCAGAGAACTGTTCTCAGCTGAATACACAAAATGAGTGCACCCACACACACCCCTCAGACATCTACCAGCTACCTCAGTTCACCATGTGTGTTATGAGTCACAGACGTCCATACCCGGTGTTGTCATCAAACAAAACAGGATCCATTTTTCTGAGTACAACAAAAAGCCAAACATCTAAACTCTGAGTTTGCGCATTAAGAAATGTTCACTGTGAGTTAACTAACAAGGAGACAGGAGGAAATAGTCTTCCAGAGCGGCAGACTGGGTCAGGTTTTATGAGCATAGGGTAAAGTGGTATGATCTGATTGGATTATGCGATGAGGAGATACCAGGCTTCAATCTGATTGGATCCTGGATCCTGCTATGTGTTTTAACTTGGGTCCCATCCCCTAGATATCTCATTATGCATATAAAAATATTCATCTGTCCGCTTCTTTGTTCAATCCCAGCTCCTCCCTTGGACCCAGCACTTCTGTTCCGCCTACGGTTGCATGCTTGGTTCACCTAGGCATGCTCAGGTTAGGGAACCATCAACCTGGGTCCATGGCAACTGAAAACAACTCACAACTTTGTTACACAAAATTGAATCAGATTGGTCTGATGCAGTTACAGTGTTACGACATTTCCTCTGAGTTCAGAGGTCTTGTTCAGCTACTGCTAGACAGGTTCCTATCGTATAATATAGATTTGCTTCAGGGCCGATAGAGGATGAAAGTACCCTTTACAGAGTAGCCCAGAGTAACCCATCCTTAGGGTCTGCTTAGTTGCAGGATATGGGTCTCTTGTTCCTCCTGACTAGTGACTTATGTAGGATGGAATGGAGACTGTTAGCACTGGTCAACCAGCACAGACGAGCATTAAGTCAGTTCACACATGATGGTTGGGCTTAGCAATGAATCCCTCTCTAAGCACCTCAGGGACTGGAAACCCTATAGGTCAAAGTATGTTCCTTCCTGGTTGCATTAGAATCACTCAGGGAGTCAAACAGAATAATGATTCTTGGGCTCCACTCCAGATCTGTCAGATCAGAACCTCTAGGATCGGGACCAAAGAATTGACAGGCTCTCAGTAATCTTTAGGCACCCTGAACTTTGAGAACCACTGGACTAGACTACCTGAATTCGCAGCAAGATGCAGGATGTGAAGCCAGGTTACCTGGTTCTACTTAGCTGAACTACTTTTTACCTAAAACATCTGGCTCTTGCTCTACTTTAGGTATCATTATTATTTGATGGTGTTTGTTCAATTTTAGACCATGATTGCTGAGGATTTGTCATGGGTGCCACGTGTTGACCTATTGTGAGCAATGAGGGGTTGGTTGATAGAAAGAAAGGAAAGTACCAGAGAGGGGCTTGGCATATTAGAGAGTGTTGTTCTGTCCCCGGGTCATTAAGTTCACATCCCATCTGTCTGTCAACATTTTTTTCAGAACTTTGAATTAACTTCTCTGGTGTTCTGAAACAAAGATAGGACATCAGTAGCTTCCTAATGAATAATTTCTCCCTTCTATAATCTAACAGTGATTAACTCGCCCTAAGTTCTATATTTGTGAACAAGATGGGTTGGGAACAAAACAACAGTTGAAAATTGCATAGATATTATGAGTGCATTAAAGGAATAGAATTATTTTTCTGGAGAAGATAACCATTATTATAATGTACCATACAGTTATGCCTTGCAATCATCAGCAAGTGTTAACATGGTGTTTAACATCATTTGCCTTGGAAAGTGAGTACTGTACTTTTTTATGATTCAAGTCATAGGCAAAATAATGAGATATCTTAACTGCCGTCTTAATAGTCCCACATAGGTATCACAAAGTAACTTGTACTCAGTATGCTGAGAGGAAAAAAGCAAGTTCTATCTTCTAGTATGTACAATAGAGCATTGTCATAATGATGCGTTTTTGAAACAAACAAAGAAGAAAACGGACATGAAAGTGTGCAGAATTAAAATGGATTTGCTTTGTCTCTTTTGAAATTATTGAAACCAGAACTACCAAGATGGAATTTATTATGCGTGTTTTGTAAAACGGCACCACTTATCGGAGAATCACTGTGAGAATTAGCTAAGTGCTGGAAACCATTCCCAGAAGTCACACTGATGATTCATCTTGCCTACCCTTTCTTCAAATAAGACTTAACTTTGCTTGTTCAAGAATTCTCTCAATCTAATGGCACAGTGAATGTGAGGCTTGGTGAAGTATTTAGGGGTAAAATGGTATGATATTTAACAACTTACTTTCAAAGAGAATGAATAAATAAAGCATATCATTTCCAGAGAGGGGGAAAAAAGCAAATGTGGTAAAAATTAGCCATTATTGAATCTAAGAAGGTATATGGGTGTTCATCAACTATTCTTTCAATATTTGGAATGTTTATAATAAAAATTGGAGAGAAAGGAATGTACCAATTAGCTGTTTAAAGTCCCTGAAAATATTTCCAGTCACTCCAGAAACCCCTGGAATCATACCTGAGCCTATTGGCATGATTTATCATGTAATTCTAGGTTTACGGCTCAGCATGCATGCCTTTAAAGTTATGGCTGAACAAGAAGGAAGTGAAACTCAAAACTGCCCTACCCAATATCATTCTTTTGATTCTGAGTATATTCCCTTCCAGAGGTATGACTTGTATGTTGGACGTGTTTTTTACCTTCAGGCCCATCCATTTAAGATTATTCCTCTTTCTGTGGTTGACTAAAAACTGAATTGGCATAGCATGGAAATCAAAATAAGGAGCTTCTGCAGAGACAGGCTTTACAAAGGAGTTTATAAAACAGGAAAAGATTTCTAAATAGACTTGAGTAAAATGTTATTTGTCAAAATAAATGACAAGGTGGATTTACTAATGGAGTGAAATCATAGAATCAGGATTTTCTCCTGGAAAAGAAGGTATACATGTTGATATGTTATGTACGTTTCCGTTTCAGGAATTTGAAGTGACAAGTTCACCTCAGATTCTCTTTCCCATCTCTTCCTGTCATTCTCCTCCTTCTCCATTGCCCATTACTCCCATCTCAGCCTCTCATACTTGAATTGTGGCCCTGGACAAAGGACCACATCTCGTCTGCAGAATGAGGAGGCCAATGAAACTTATAGCCCTCCGGGATCTGATGCAGTTCAGCCTCATTTTCATCTGCTAGTAGATTATCTTGTTTACTCTCCTGACCCCCTGGGAACACACCAGCCTGAGGAGCTCTCCAATCAATCATTTAAAGCCCCCCTTCTTTGAAAAAGGAACAATGATATTATTCTCTCCCCATCCCAGCTTCTATTTCTGTAATTCCAGCAAATGTCCACCTTCTGAGTTCTTAATATCAGCCATTAGGTTAGCTGACATATTAACCCTTTCACAGCTGGCTCCCCTCTGCACCTACTCTGTCCATCATAGTTTTACACCCCAAGGAAACCAAAAGACTCTTAAGACATATTTAATAAATGCTGGTTTTCATTCTCCTTAGGATGCAAATTTATGGAAGATGGCATGTCTAATGTGCTCACCTAGAACTAGTTATATTCCCTCTGAACCCTTTAGGTATAGCCCTGTGACCTCCCAGTTGCCAAATATTTCCATCTACCTCACCATGAGCATCTGGTTTCAGGTGCATGGTTAAAGAAATGGACAGATAGACACAGAAGTGCCTGAGCAGAGTTTCCTAAAGCACCTTCGGGATGACAGGTATTGTGTATGCAAATCTGCTCCTGCTATTATTAGAAGTACTTCATACTGACTAAGCTGTTATTGAGGAAGAAATGGATTAAGACTTATGGAGTCTGAGCGGTAAACACATGACACAGGGTTCTTAGGGCAGGCTGGGTGGCGTGCAGTTTTATTCAGCGCCACACCTCAAATGCTCAACAGGGCCACCTGTGTTAAGGGCACCCTAAACTGCAGCAAGGTCACGCAAATGTTTGAATTACTCATCCTAGTCGACCTTCTACCGCAGCCTATCCAACTTCCGGGACGGGCAGACTGACAGCATAGTGCCACGGGAGAGGAAGAAAGGCAACCAACAAATGTCCACGGATGGAACAGATGAGTCACATTGAACTTCCCCATGAAGTTCAAGGACAAGAACACCTGCCTCCTGCTTGTCTTGTGAGGTTGTTTTGAGGACTGCAGACAGCATTACAGAGTTTAGAACACTGAAAGATGCTAGAGTACAAATACAAGTGGAATGTCAAATCACAGTGCACGTTTTGAACCCTAGGCCTTTCCAATAGGTACACAGAAATGTGTCCTTTAAGCCTTTTATTAATGCAAACATCATTACATGATGACCTAACCGGTCATTAGAGAGCCATTAGATACAACGCATTCAGCAAAGTCACAATGTGGCTGCCACTCAGATAGAGTCCTACAGGTGGGGGCAGAGAGAACAAGAGCCTAGAAAGTGCATGTTGAACACTTTTTATTTATTTCTTTCTTTACTTATTTCCTATTTAGAGTAGGAGCATTACTCTAGCTCCCAGGCTGCAGTGCAGTGGCATGATCACAGCTATGGCAGTCTCTGTCTGCTGGGCTCAGGCGATCCTTCTGCCTCATCTTTCCAAGTAACTGGAACTGTAGCCATGTGCCCCCATGCCCAGCTAATTTTTTAATTTATTGTAAAGATGAGGACTCGCCATGTTGCCCAGGCTGGTCTCAAACTCCTGGCTTCAGGCAATCCTCTTGCCTAGGCCTTCTCAAGTGTTGGAATTACAGGCATGGGCTGCCACTGTAGTTTTTAATGAGTTACATCTATTCAGAGTGGGTTTAGAAGATCCTGCCCAGCCGGGCCTGGTGGCTCAGCCTGTAATCCCGCGCCTTTGGGAGGCTGAGATGAATGGATTGCCTGAGCCCGTGGGTTCGAGACCCGCCTGGGCAGCAAGACCTCATCTCGGCAATAAATCAAAAAATCAGCTGGGTGTGGTAGCGCGTGCCTGTTATTCCGGCTACTTGGAAGGCTGAGGCGGAAGGATTGCCGGAGCCCAGCAGGTCGAGGCTGCGGGGGAGCGGCCACTGCACTCCAGTCTGGGCGACAGAGTGAGACTCCAACTCAAAAAAAAAAAAAAAAAAAAAAGAAGAAGATCCTGCCCTATTCCAGCAGAGACATCTGCTGAAAGTCTACTTGAACTGGATCAGGAATGGAATGTACCACTGAACACTTAACATAGATCTGACCCATAGACCCGACCTGTACCCAAGTGAAGAGAGAGTCACACTGAGGGCAAAAACAAAACAAAACACAACAAAAAACACATGCAGGATTGATCTGACTTCTCTAGAGGATAAATAGAGTAAACAAGTAACATAATGAAACCTATGGGAAAATACCAAGAACAAGAGAAAGGACATCATCCTCAGGCTCAGACAATTCATAGACACCCGAAAATGTTTCCTACCCCCCCAAAAAGAAAAGAAGTTTGAAAAATTTACATCCTTAGAAGAATGCAAAGTAACTGTTCTCTTTATAACAGAATCAGAAAGCCATAGGGTAGGTTTAGTTGGAAAGGCAATGGAATGAAAGGAAAAAGGAGATAGGTGAGACAAACTCTTGACAGCAGAATTAAAATCCATAATGAAAACAATAACACAATTGGCGATGTGGTGTTACCTTTCTTCAGGGCAGTAAAGAATATATATTAATATCCTTAAATATAGACACAGCAATTCATTTCTTAAAATTTAATGTTTTCCCATCTTGGGTTGTCTCCCCACCCTCTTGATGGTTTCTTTTGCTGTGCTAAAGCTTTTCAGTTTGCTGAGGCCACACTTTGTCTTAGCTTTTAGTTTTGAGGAATTTGGCCAAGAATTATGCCTACTCTGATGTGCATAAAGGTGTTTCCTACATTTTCTTCTAGGATTCATAGCTTGAGGTTTTATGTTTAGGGTCTTTGATCCATTTAGAATTGATTTTTGTATATGGTGATAGGTAGGGGTCCAGTTTCAATCTTCCGCATGTTGTCAGTCAGTTTTCTCAGCACCATTTACTAAATACAGTCTCCTTTCCCCAGTGATTGTTATTGTTGGCTTTGTTGAAGATGAGTTGGTTGAGAGACTGAGTTTTTACTTCTGGCATCTCTGTCCTGTTCCATTTGTTTATGTGCCTATTCTTGTACCAATACCAGGCTGTTTTGGTTACTGTGGACTTGTAGTACTGTTTAAAGTCTGGAAGTGTGATGTCTCCCACTTTGTTCCTTTTACTGAGGATTATTTTGGCTATTTATGCTTTTTTTGTTTGCTTCCATATGAATTTCGGTATTGTCATTTCCAGGTCTGAGAAAAACGATGTTGGTAATTTGATGAGTATGGAACTGAATCTGTAGATTGCCTGGGGTAGAATGGACATCTTGACAATATTGATTCTTCCAATCCATGAGCATGAAATGTTTTTCCATTTGTCTGTGTCATCCTTGATTTCTTTGAGACACGGTCTTGCTCTGTCACCCAAGTTGGAGTGGTGGCATGATCATAGTTTATTATAGCCTTGAACTGTGGGCTCAAGTGATTCTCTTGCCTAAATTTCCTGAGTACTATATCTGGGACTACAGGTGTATATCACCATGCCTGGCTAATTTTTTGATTTTTTTGTAGAGACAGTCTCAGTGTGTTGCCCAGGCTGGTCTCAAATTCCTGGCTTCAAGCAACCCTCCTGCCAAGGCCTCCCAAAGTGTTGGGATTGCAAGTGTGAGCCACCACACCTGATCAATCAGGGCTTGTAACAGTAGAAAAATAAGACAGACATGTCCACCAATAGGGAATTAGTTAAATAAATATTGGTATTGAAAGATCATAATATTAATACAAACATAATAATATAAAACAACTATTGGCCAGGCGTGATGGCTCAATCCCGTAATCTTAGCACTTTAGGGGCTGAGGTGAGAGGACTGCCTGAGCTCAGGGGTTTGAGTCCAGTCTGGGCAGCTTGGTGAGACCTCATCTCTACAATAAATAAAAAAATAAGTCAGGCATGGTAGTGGCGGTGTACGCTTGTAGCTCCAGCTACTTGGAAGGCTGAGACAGAAGGGTAGTCTGAGCCCAGTAGGTTGAGGCTGCGGTGGCCATGAGCATGCCACTGCACTCCAGCCTGGGCAACAGAGTGAGGCTCCAACTCAAAAAAAAAAAGCAACTATTACACATAATGCTATTAACATTTAACACAGGCTGTTTTATTAAATAAAGAGAACTAAAGCAGGTTACAAAATGTTAATAATACATGGAGTAAGACAGTTTGTGTTTTTAAAAAATGTATATGTGAGTGTGAAGCATGGAAAATAAATCTGAAAAAAACCATTGTTCACTTTTGCTATATAGCAAACCACCCCAAAACTTAGCGGTTTAGAACAACCATCATTGCTTTCTTTCATCATGTTGCAGGGCAGGCAGGCAACAGTTTGAACTGGGTTTAGTTGGGCAGTTCTGTGGTCTTGGGCTCACGCATGCATCTGTGCTCAGCAGCCGGTTGGCAGGAAAATGACTAATCTAGGGCGTTCTCAGCTGGACAGCGTGATTCTGCTCTACCTGCTCTCATTCCCCAGAAAACGAAGCTGGATCTGTTTGGAGTGCCAACCCCCACCTCCCCACTCCTAGGAGCAGGGATAAATCCTGAACTGAGAACAGGCATGCTTCTTCTGCCATGGTCTTTTGGTCAAAGTAAATCACAAAGCTAGCTGAAATTCAAGGGTTAAGAAAATAGTTTCCATCTCTTGATATAAGTAGTTACTAGTCACGTTGTGAAGAGGTGTGAATGCAGGGGCTTAATCTGCTATTTTAGAACCTGTATTCTTAAATGTTAGCAGTGCATGCTTGGGATGTAGAATTACAGGTTTTTACTTTGTTTTTAAATTTTTCCTTTACTAGCAGAATATTTTATAACAAGCATGTATTACTTTTATTACCAAAATCAAGTTATTTCCACCTTAACATTTTACTAGGAGTTTTTAATGGCATTGCAAAATATTCATGGTATAGTCTCAAATTTAAGCATGCTAGAAAATTATAAAGTATATACACAGCATATCCTAAAACATCAAAATGCACAGAAAAGTTCTAGAAGGAATTATCAAAATGTTAACA